CTCTAATGGATTACCTGCACTTCTTCTAACACACACATATTCCTTATAGCACCGAAACAAGATCAATATCAATAACCCGGGAAAAGCAAACAATAATAGAACAAATAAGAACAAGGAGATCTGAGCCGGAAGACGAGATGGCTCCGTCGTTTTACGACTTTGACACGACTCCTCACTGTCTTGAAGCTGCTCCTCCCTCTCTGTCTGGTGGCGTCTGGCGAGCATCGGCGTCGGGCAATCTGTAAACAAATCATATGGAAATGGAATGATACAGTGATAGTATAATAATGGAGGAAAGTAATAAGTATAGGGTTACCTAATATATACAGATAATATCCTATAAGCTGAGTGAAGAGGACCCACTTTTCGAATGTAGACAATTTTGTCTTGATGTTTCGCTGATTTTCAATTATTAAAGAGCTAGCTTCACTCTAAATTTACGATATACAAAACACCGGTTTCTCTTCATAGAATTGTAGAACTAAAAGATAAATTCTTAGACTGGTGTGCTGTCACTGGCCCGGAAAAGCTCACTAATTTTGAATCAGTGCCAGATGTTGGCTATGGTGCTTGCATTTTTTTACTAAAACGTCGTTGGATAGTCACGCCGGTCACACTTTAATCACTGTTTTTTATTGTGCACAAGAAGTTTATATATGTTTGGTTTTTGAGTTTGAAAGGTTTTTTTTCTGTTTGGTTTGCATTATTTATCTGTTATTTAGCCCCTTCCAAAGTCTGGTACGAGAAATGTTTCGAAAAATAGAAAGAAAATTTGACATGTCAATAACCTTAGGCTTGCAGACCTCAGCGATTTTTCAAAACCATGTGGCTGGCGCATGGCGCTTTCGCGCGCTGCGCTTTTCGGCTTTGGCACGCGATCTACTACGGGATGTACCTACTTGATCCGCTTGATCCGCTTCAACCACTTTGCTATCAGTCAAAATAACGAACTGACCAATGGTGAAGTGGATCAAGCAGATCGAGTAGGTTAAATATGGCGCGTGCTTTTTGGACAGAGTTCTTTCGGCAAAGTTTGGCCGCTCCTATAGAAAAAGAAATGATTTTATTTTAATACACCTTTCCGTGCTTCCAACCACAATGATGATATTAGAATGAACTCTACTGCAATGCAATTTACCTTGAGCTGTAAATCAAGGTACAATTTACCTCGGGTAGGAGAACGAACTCCGCTAGTTTGAATCGCCTGCGCGGACTACTGTTCCTGCGACGACATGCAACAATGTTGCAAGAGGATCAGTTGCCAGCGAAAGCGGGCTCAACTGGCGGAGTTCGTTCCCCTACTCATTTACCTTAAGGTGTGATTTTCGTATTCATCAAAGTTTTTTTCTCAAGAGTAAACCTAGCTATGCCGGCATTATAAGGACTGATGTACATATCAGGGAGCGTGGCATGACGTATCTACCTGCGGTGAATTGCTTTTTATGATCCGCACGTTATTCATACAAGAAACTTCTTGCCTTTAGGGTTCAAAGCATCACAGTTAGTCTCGAAATGGTTTTGTCTACGTAGTCAACCATCTCAGGCTCTAAGGCTTTTTATCTGACAAATCAATTATTTTTATGTTTCATTTTAGATTCATAATGTTCTTCCTCTAGCAATGAAACCTGCCTGTCTAAAGATATCTCTCCTTGTTCGGTTACAGGCAATATCGCAAAAAATGGTCCAACATTTTCACAAAGCGTCGTATGAAACTGCGAAAGTATGAAGCAGCGCCCAAAAAAGACTTGACAGCTCCAGTATCCTGAAGTCTAAGTATCCTAGGACACTAGCTATCGTTTCTGAGGTTCAGTTTTTTCGCTCCTGCTTATGAGAACTCGCCAGTATGGGACTTCTTATTGCAGAAATGAATATTTTTCCCTGTAAGTTTCGTGCCAAAATTTCTCGTTACGTTGCAAAACCTCTACTATAGGTTGTACCAAAAGTTCTTTCGCACCAAATTCAAAAATTCATAACTTGTTGAATTCTCTACGAATTTACAAGATCTAAATTTTGTATAAAAGAGGAACTCATGCTCTCCGCAACAGTATCTGAACTGGTCACTAATGTTTACAATTGAAGGAGATAGAAGCTAAAAACCAAAATCAGTCAAAATTTGAATTTTTCGTGTACGGTCATAAAAAATCGGAAACTTGCAACAAAAATCGGAGCAGTCGGTATTGTAGGTTCTTTCACCAGCTCTTTCTAACGGTGCAAAGTTTGCGCCGATTGAGAGTCTTTATGAAAAGTTACAATTTCCCTGAAAAATGCCAAAATATTAGGTTGGCACATAAGTTTTGCAACTTTTCCCGTAACTTTTTTCCTATTTTATGTGGCAACCTCATTTTGTGGCATCATGTAGATCGTGATGTAAGCTGCAAGTTTGCGCAAACCGCTTGATTATTGATAACGTAGTACAAAAAATCTAAACATTTTTTGAAAACTGCTGAAAATCGAGGTTTCACGATTTTTTGGCAAACATGAAGCCCTATGAAACCTGAGTCAAACATATGAAAAAGCAATTATAGGCAGCATGTAGCTGAAAGTTGGCACATTGGACTCAGTGAAAAAGAAATGAAATTTAAGCACAAATTAAGGTGGGGCGCCTTTGAGAAGTTGAGCAAGTCAAAGCGTCAAGTTTTGAAGGCAATTTGTCAGTAACTAAGCTGCGAAAAGTCAGAATTCGCTATAACTTTGCACTCTAGGGTAATCCTATGCGGAAAACACGAATATCATATTCATTTGTCGCTAAAATGAAATTCATCTTTTGATTTTACGAACGAGGCTTTTTCATGCGAAACGGATCTCATTTTTGTGATCAGCATGTCAATTAAGCCCTATAGGCCAAGTTTCAGCAAAATCTGATGCATTCTAAAGTTTTTCCCATAGTACCGTAAACCTACCGTAATCCTCACATAAGATAGTAAAATTCGGCAAAAATGTGTGCATTAGAAGCCTACATCATAGTCCTTATATTGCCAAAAAATGAATGTGCTACGTTCGAAGAGACAAAAGTTATATAAAAAGTTGCATTACTTATGTGCCAACCTAATAAATCAAAATCGCCCTTTTGTATTGCTTGCTCGAAAATCGTAACTTTTCATAGAAACGCTCGATCGGCGCAAACTTTGCACCGTTAGAAAGAGCTGGTGAAAGGGCCTATAATACCGACTGCGCCGATTTTTGTCGCAAGTTTCCGATTTTTTATGACCCTACACGAAAAATTCAAATTTTAACTGATTTTGGTTTTTAGCTTCTATCTCCTTCAAATGTAAACATTAATGACCAGTTCAGATACTTTTGCAGAGAGCATGAGTTCCTCTTTTATACAAAATTTAGATCTTGTAAATTCGTTGAGAATTCAACAAGTTATGAATTTTTGAATTTCGTGCGAAAGAACTTTCGGTACACCCTAATAATAGATTACGAAGATTGTTAGCAATGAAATGACTGGCGATAATGATATCATCCAAAGGCGAAACAGCAAGCTTTCAACTCTCTTGTCAAACTGTTCGCGACTCTTTGGAAAGTAGTCAACCTTCATTTCACTTTTGAAGCCAAGTTTGAGGTTTCGCTTTCTAACAATAAGCTGAAATTTCTTTGCTACTTCTAATGACGGACTGTCAAACGCACCTTTCGATTCTCCATTCGCATGCATCAAATTCGAAACGGTAAAACAACCGTTGGCAAAAGATATAGAGTCAACACTTCACAAGTTCAAGCCAACGTGTTTAATTTCACAATTCAAAGCTTTTACATTTTACCACGCTCATCAAAAACAACCTTCCAAGCAATGCTTCAACGTATTCAGCTTCATCGTCCGCCCTATACTCACCGTAAATTTACAAAAAGTTTCACCATCTCGGACAAATCACCAGAACTTCCGCAGGATAAGCCAAATTTGCAAAAGTTCCGCAGGACTCCATCCATTATTGCAAAAGTGAAAACTTTGAAAATCGGAACTTCCGCGGGATTTTCATGTTGAAACCGGAACTTCAACAGGATCTTCTTCAAAATCCTGCGGAAATTCCGAAAAATGGCGGAGGTTCCGCAGCACTATGGCCTGTCAGAACCTCCGCAGAACTTTGAACGTGTTGTCTAATATGGTGCCTCGCCAACAACTAGAGTGCATTATCGAGCATGTCAGTCGTAGTGCAGAGGATAGTAGGTGGGTCTCACAGTTATTAGAGTAAAGTTCAAACCTCACCTAGGTGTTCCCTTTGCTGTTGTGGTTCGCATTCTTCGGAACTTCCGCAACACCTCCTTTAGTAACTTCCGCAGCACGTTTACGGAACTTCCGCAGGTGACCGGCGGAACTTCTGCAAGCGCTCTGCGGAAGTTCCGGTCATTTGTCTGACAAGGGAAGGCTGCTTTACCGTGGCCATTCAAATGACTTGTATATCAAAAAATGCGTCTTTTAATGCTGGTTCAAAAACTGTCTTCCATATCTGCGAAACGATGATCTGGATGGAGTTATGATTATTTTTTCATAAATAAATTGCGTTACTGCGGATAGTGAAAATCATTGATAAAAAATTCTCTTTCCCTCTCAAATGCTGAATATGATCTAAATAGGTGTAATACAACAGTAAATCTTCTAAAATTCCTTTCAACAGCTTCAAACGGCAAACTAGAATGAATTTGCTGATTTTTACTCCCCAAAAGTACGCAAATTTCCTACGAAAAAAGTTCATAACTCCCTACAGAAAATCGTTTCGCAGATATCGAGCACAGATTTAGAATCAGCATTTCGAGGTGCATCTTCTTACGGTATACATCCCATTCCTGATGGCCACGGTCACCGAGTATCCTTTCCTTGAGAGATGCAAAATGCATACCTCTATCTGTCATCAGGACGGTGACTCCCATGTACATGTGACCAAATTTTGCGCTCGAAGATACAAATTGAAGAGAAATTCTTTATTCAGAACTGCGATCAGCAAAGGTACCTAATCTTTCAAGAAGAAACTTTTACAAAGTGAGCAATCGGCGAAACCAAATTTCGAAACCAAATTTATTACAATACAAAGAATATAGTGAAAAAAAATACAAAACGATAAATACCTGAAATAACAGACATACAAAAATGAAAACAACAAAAAGGAGAGCGGAAGCTAAGTACTAAAATATAAGTAGAAACCCGAAGGGTATTGATTTACAATGACCTAATTGCGAATCAGAAAAGAAATGCTGTACTACACTATATAACAACCGGTAATGATGAATCACGAGGTACAAGGCCAAGGGATTGAAGAACTATCTGGAAATAAATAATAACTGTAAAAAACATAGGATTACTGAAATGCCTTGATGCAACTATGAATTTAACTCGTCAAATATATTATTCAGTACAAATGTTCAAACATTACCTGACAAGCTACTAATTTCGCGTCCTTCTTGCTGCGGGATATGATATCAGACTTATACTCGATGCCGTTGACGATGGCCTATAATAGATAAAGATAAGATCAAGCTTGCCACCAAATCAAACTTACTGTGCATTTGAACTCTCTCATGTTGGATGGACCAGATTCATGACTAATGAATTGTGGCGCCGACCATTTACGTTTTGCGCAAAGCTCCATGACCATTGAGACAGGGTGCTTTGTTGCTTAAATAAGTTGATGTTCAACAACTTATACTTTCGATTTTATCGAAAAGTGGCTACTTTCTTGGATGATAAGAAAAGAAAGAAAGAAGGCATTATTATTGTAGCTAAGGCAAAATAAAACAGCAGAATAAAACCACTGACCGATTACATCTCCAGCACTTTTACCACCTCCACCTTTAGCGCCAACATCATCCTGGGCCACCAAACCTAAATCATTCATATTCTCACTGTAACCAAATTTAAACTGAAAAAGAAACTAACCCTTTCTATCATTCTTCACATCCAACACCAGAGGTTCAAGATTGCCCATACCATCAGGGCCAAGCCCCTCACCAGGTCTCCAGCCCATCTTTTGCATAAGTCTCAAGCCAACACCCCCAACAGATGGACGCGCATTTTTGAACATATCCTAAAGTTCAAATTCAGTGGATGATCTCGTATAGATATCATATTTTTCTGGAAAATTCGCATCGCCTACATTCCAACGATCACTCCACGATCAACGCGGTAACAAGAATCTGAAAAAGAAAAATGACGCGAGTTCATCAGATTCAATCAAACGAACGAGTCCAACATCACCAAGATTTGATTTAAAGAGATATATCAACATAGCATAGACATTACGATGAGGCACACCTCCAATTCATCCACTTCAAAAAAAACCATCAGTGATGCCCTATTTTTCTTTTCATGGCATTTTTTCTGCGCAAATGTTGCCAGGACCTCAACAGCAATGACTGTCAAGATCTACCACAGCTCAAACAAAACGGACCGATTACTTTAGAATCATCCAACAAGTGCTACATCACCAAAGCCAAACTTAGATCAAGCACGGTTTACTAGAAAATGGCAAAGCATCCAAGACTACATGTAATTACTTCATTGGATGATTTTATCGAAAGCAATTAAAGCTACGCGTGAAATATAATTTATCCGCCAACGAATACGCAAAGCTGTGACAAGTACTGAAATGCAGCTTCGGCATTCGAGTCCTTCCGTAATTTTATTTTTTCCTCAACAACTCGAAGGCGCGAACCGCACAGTCCTAGCTGCAGCTTTGCGCAAGACATGGAGAAATTGGACTACAAACGTTGATTGAAAATGACAACTCACGTTTAACCCGATTAAACATAAATCGGCCTCCTCCCGTAGTAGTAGTGTACAAATGTTTGCGTAGATAGCGAATAGATGAGGTGCATATCAAGGAAGCATTGGAAGACAAGGATGGTCAAAACGGTCGTATCCGCATATTCTTTGTACATTGGCGCTGGCTAACACGTCGTTAAGCCTGCACATCAACATCCTCATCCTGCAGAAAATCAGCTATTTTGCTTGTATGCCAATGATCACAAAACTAGTGCAAGAAATTTATTCTTGTACACTAGTTAAGGATCATAGGCCGACTCGAACACGCATGATGAATAAAATATTTGGTAGGAAGCTATGGACGACGCGTGCCGTTGATAAGACAAGTGATAATGTCAAACTTCTTTCTATTACTGACTTTCTATTACTGAGGCAGTTGAGGAGTCACTTCTAAAGAATTTAGCAATGATGATACAAGCTTTCAAAACAAGAAGCTAAAACTGAATTTTTCAAACAATTTAAATTCCAGAAGACCCCTTTGTGCAGAAATAAGATGAATAGATTTACAAAGCAATCATAAAGAATCATCACAAGCCGACCTAAATCTCATACCTTCCTTACCCACGCATTATAGCGTGGATCATGGGGTTGTAACTCATCAGACGAAAGTACATTGAGACCGGTACTGCCGGTAAACTTTCCCGGCAGATTTTTAGCAGCTGCCCAAGCTGCCATCTGCAAGTGGTGTAAGTTGCTGTGTTCCAAACCTAAAACTGACAACTACTGACCTGGTCATCGGCTTCTTTGAGCATTCGAATGGCCTCAAAATCATTTGGATTCGATGCCAAAGTCAATTGCGCACTAGCTCGTTGAGCCAAAACTTTGGCGACATCTCTCTTCTTAGCCTATATACGAATTACATACGTATAAAAGTGCCAAATTTCCAAGATAAGTACTTACTATTTCAATTTTATCCGGCTCATGTATAATCAATTCCTCCTCTGGTGGAATAACAAGTAATTCGGGCAAAGGCGGTGGAGGAGGCAACAACGTATCAAAAGCCTACAATGAGTTTGAGAGATACACAGAAATTGTACGCATAAAAGCCTACAGTAAGTTTTGGAGGAGGTGGAGGTGGCGGTAACAGTCCACCGAGGCCTGTCAGTACGGGTGGAGCAGGCGGTGGTGGTAGAAGATGGTCAGCGGAAGTGCTCTACAATAATCACGATAAAATCATAGTCTTCATCGCAAAGAATCAGCGAAAAACATTTAAGACGAAATGAAATAGCTGAAGAGGAAACACTGCGATAAATTACAGCAAAACTTTGGACGAAGGACATAACCGAACGAAAACAAAAACCCACCGCGCTATGGTACTTCTGAGCCTCAAGACTAGTTATTCCCACGTACTTCTTTTGTTCAGCTGAGCATGTCTTCAACTCATCTTTCACTACTGGTGTCCACTCACGCTCCTGAAACTGTTCCGAGGCCTAGTAAACAAAACAAAAAATTGGATAATAACTGCCAAACAATGACTGACTGTGCTCTCCTTGTGAGTGACTCCTGAAGAGACTGGGTAAACTAATCGCAGCTGGGAACTGTCCAGTATGCGTTCCTGTGGTGTTTTCGTTGGAATATTTGTGGCATTCTGCAACAGGTTTACTAGAACTAACGCCCAAAATCTGAAGCAACATACCACTATGTTGATTTTGATGCCTTCAACTGGTCCTGCTGTCTTAACACCGAATGGGTGCTTGAAAGACGTAGGACTGGCAGCGCCAGATCCGGCCTTGTCAGAGTCATCATCATCATCGCTGGAAACGGCTTCGCCTTTCTCTCTTCTAGTCTCTTTTTCCTGACGGCGTTGTATTTGCTGGCAGTAAGCTGAAAGTCACAGTGAAGCGCCAAAGAAAAGAAAAAGTGGATTCAAAAGAGATGGAAAAGTAATCTAATGGTACAAAAGCGATAAAACTAAACGTACAGACAAAATCGTCCACACTTTTGGGCTGATTTTGGAGCTGATCCAAGTTTCCAAGACTGATACCAAGCTGAAATATGTGGAGTATTTGTCATGGTACATGATGGACCTCTCTTTTCACTGCTTTTCTTAGTAAGAAATGCTATACACCTCCCATCCTACGTTCTAACAAACTTGATAGATATCTTACCAACTGCATTTTCTGTGCCTTCTTCCTAGCAATCGCCAACAGCTTTGCTTTATCAATTCGTCCTCTCCTACGGCCACCACCTCGCCTTCGACCCTCTCCTCCCATTGGACGCCTTGGTGATCTACTGCGACTTCTACTTCTGCTTCTGCTTCTACTTCTACTACGACTAGGAGTGCGGCTGCGACTCCGGCTACGACTTCTGCTCCGCGTTGATGACCTGGATCGTGACCGACGGGATCTGACATGGGAGATAAGATATCAGCAAAAAACGCGACACTTCGTTATCACAGGATAGAGACACACCTATATCGGCTACTGCTACGACTTCTGCTTCTGCTGCGACTTTTGGACGTGGACCTTGACCTCCGCCTGCGCTTGTCCCGAACTGGGCTTCTGCTAACAGATTTAGAGTAACGTCGGCGAGATCTCGACCTTGAGCGACCACTAAAAAGGAATATAATAATTTTCATACAGAGCAACAGCAGATACTGTTACGCAGCTGTTATCCACAAGTAGAAAAATTTTAGCAAGCAAAAAATGCTCCAAAAATGAAGTACTGTTAGCTCCAAGGTATGTTTGCAGCAAAAAAAAAACAACACTCACCGATCGTCTCGTCGACGTCCACGTGGACGATATGGTGATACCTTTCTCATGGCCTTGTTAGAACGTCTAAAACAAAAAATTTTACATTTATAAATCGGTTGCTCTTCAAAATATAAAAACCATCTACTAACGCAGTTCTTGCTTTAATTCTTATCTCCTCATCAGTGTTTGGACTGGAGCTTCGTTTCCGTGGGGATCTGCGCCGTTTCCTTGAGTGCGGCTCTTTGGAAGCTGAAACAGTCGGCTGAGCTTCTTTTCCTTAATAGATTGTGTAGATTCTGGTTGAGATGCATGTAATGAATGAAACTTACCTTTCGATATCACAGCGGATGAACTCTCGACAACCCTCGCTAATCGAGATTTTAGCGCTGTCTAAAAATACATGAGTAGAGCTCATAGGAGCCATAAACTATGGAACCAACCTTCGGCTGAGCAGCAGCATTGATTTCTTCGAATATCTCTTTCTCCAGCTCTCCATCACTTATGGGTTCAGGAACCGGTGCAGAATTGACGGCTCCCGACGAGGTGGCGGTTGGAGCCGGGGGCGGAAGAGATGCTGGTCCGAATTCTGCCTCTTTCTCAGCCTCATCAGCCGAGATATCCATCAAACTGGAAAAATACAATTTGCAGATTATTTCGGTCATAAATGTAAAAGGCACCTTTCATCCTCAATTTTGATAGAAGGTTTCATCTCAGTCTCGTTGCCATTTTCTGCTTCAGTTTTTATGTGAGTCTGAACCGATGAACTTTCCGTAGCCGAGGTTTTCACCTTTAAGTTGCGAGGTACAAAATCTCCGCGTCCTTTCTCAGCAATCACCTAAATTTTCAATCAGAGCGCAGCTAAATGAGCAACGATAATCAAAGTACACGCATACCTTGTTCAGAACGTCTGATTCTCTTTTCTCCATAGGTCCATCATCATCCAAATCTTTCTTGATTTCTTTTGACAACGGAAATGCTTGAGATGAACGAGGCTTGCCCAGCGGAGGAGCGACTGGAAGAGATGCTGTAAAAACAAAAAATGATGCCTTGTATGCACCAAAGATGTGATAAACCCAAAACACACCCAAATCTAGAGAGGAGCCAATCTTACTGGAGATATTAATCTTTTTCTTGGCTTCTTTCATGACAGTTCGGAAATCAGCGCCAACCGGAAGATCATCATCATCGTCGGAGATCTGAAGAAGTCAGTTTGGACAAACAAGATTAACAGGTATCAAAAGGGACTCACCGCACGAAATGATGACTTCTCAGGGAAAGGAGGACTCTTTTCGGGAGTACTGATTGGCTCCGGCTCTGGTTTTACTACTGCCTTTTTCTCTTCTTCATTATCAGATCTCAGCGGTGTTGGAGTTCGAGAGGGGGTTTTGTCTTTTGATGAAGTTTTCGACTTTGACCTTGATCGATGTTTTCTGAAAATCAGAGACGATGATAGGAATTCTAAAGATAAATCCTAAAGCAAACAAATTATGACTAACCTTTTCTTATGCTTCTTCTTCGAAGGTGACCTTGAACGCGAGTGTTTTCGTGATCCACTATGGTCACGCTTGGAATGATGCTTCTTCTTCTTCTTTTTTGACTTCTTATGCTTGTGTTCCTTTTTCTTCTTTTCCTTGTCTCTCTTCTTTTGTGCGGCTAGGTCTTCGACGGAAAAAGGCTAAAAATCAAGATTTGAAATTGGGGTGTTATAAATGCGAAAAATAATTACTTCATTTTCGTATTGTCATTTACATTCATAATGGGTGTACTTTCTGAGTAAATTAAAAAAGAAAACACATTACAGAAAGCAACCATTGAGAAAGTGCAGTAGCTGTACCCAAGTTTTTATAAAATCAGTTCATATGCCAAGTCGCTCTTTTATTGAATCTATATATAGTGCCTTCGCGAATGCATCATCAATATTCCATCTTTGTGAAATATGACTTTGGAAAATTGGAGGTGATTAGGCAACAGCAGAAAATAAACGCAAGTAAAAACATTATGAAACCCGAACCTTTTCTAAAGAACGAACTTCATCGAGGAGATCCTTCACGATAGCATCACTTGTCGTACATTTGTTCGTTGAGGGATCTCCATTTTGTTCACGCCGCGACAAGTCTTCACATTTCGTATCTTCTGATGTTTCGCTAACGTTCTTCTGTTCAGCGACATCCATTCGCGGATTTTTTTTTGTTTTCACAGATTTTTGACAAATGTCAAACGACACAAAAAGTCAGAAAGAAAGAAAAAACAATGCAAAAGAGACAATGAACAATGTTTTGACAAAACACAAACGAAATGCGTCGGCTACGCAAAAGTTTCACGCAGGATGGCGTGTGACTTTTATTAAAGGACAGCCGCCTCGTTCGGGCGAAGGTATTGAGTGGATTGCTGCATTCGTGTTCATTCGCTTCGTCGTCTGCGCGCTTTTTTCGCCGTGCTATTTCGTTAGCCGCGTTCCCCGACTTGGATCAATGCCAGCTCTAATTGCTTGTCCTATCACTGACTCATCCGTTGTGTGTGTGCGTGTGTGTGTTGTATTCCGACGTATCGCTACTGTGTGCGGGGCCCCGTTGCAGCTGTTCAGGGGTTAGTCATCGGCTGAGGGTTCCGCTAGGTGCTGCTATGTGCTATTGAGATTTTCTGCGAAATATTTGGCAAGTTTTGTTGTTGCGTCGCAGCTTTTTTACTGATTTTGGGCAGCAATTTCCATGCATATTTTTCTTTGAAGTCATCCTTCCTCAATTTATTAGAGCGATCATTCCTTCTTCTGCAAAGTTCTCTGCAAAACTTACATCCTTTTTCTCTTGCCCTTTACCTCATCAAGCCGGGCAGCTTGTTACGAAATCGTTGGATATAGTCTGCGTCATCAACGATCAGCTTAGTCATTGGCCTTATCTCGAGCTGCAGAATATTTTGCGAATTAAAGTTTTCAAAGGTACCAGATAGTAAGTTTCCTGCTCTCGAACTCGAAAGTCCTTGTTTTCTTGATTAATTGTTGTATAAACCGTAATCATAATCCTTTAGAAAAGCTTTTACTAAAGGACGCATAATCGAATTTACTCTATGAAATCTAGACATATGAGTTCTATTTTGAACGGTAAGTGCAAGCTGACAGCCTAAATCTCATATCGTGAATTTGGTTATGAGTCCATTTAATGGAGCACTTTTCACTGCCGATAACAATATCAATGGTTAGTGCAATAGTTGATTAACAAAGAAATGAAATCACAAAAATTCATCTGTAGCCTCTTAGAGCTTCCTAAACGTTAACATTTTCATGAAACAGACCATTCATTGCTGGGTTTTTTAGTCACTCAAAGTTGATCTCTATACTTTGCAAATTAGATCTCAAGGGTTCTTTTAAAAATTTTTGTTTGATGATAATTTTGGGGCTCTAATGATCTACGCATGCGGTCAGTATGTTGCCTTTTTCCTTTTTTTATCACAATCTTACGAATTTCAAGAAGAAAGTGGCTGGCATCTAATTTGCCACCAAAGGTAGTATAGCACATTCGAAAAATCGTGACGATGGCGCGACTGCGCGCGAGACGCACGCACGTCACGGCAACCGCATTTTCTTGTTTATCATCTTTACTAGAACGGTTTTTCTGCTTACATATGACAATATTTAGACAATGGAAGTGACTGAGCTGAGAGTTAAGGTGATGCTTTTTTGCATGAGTGTTTTCTGCCCCAGTGGGCGCAAAGACCGCAGTCAAATCCGTCTCATGTTTTTATAAACGACCTGTGCATAACTGACCTTTCAGATTTTTTTCTAAAACCCATCAATCGGTGAAGTGGTCTCGCCTCTATATTAGCCCAAAAAAAGTTCGGCTTCAATACTAAAACCTACTTGATTACCATACAAACTAGCAAAATGCTCTTCTGACCAAACTTTTGAATGCTTCTCTTGAAGTCCGCAAGGCCAAATGTCATCTTTTTGCTTTGAAAGCTTTTCTTGGGGCCTACATCTATCATCATCATCATGCTATTTACTTACGCCTCTCCAGCGTGGGGTGCCTGATGCTTGATAAAGTTGTTTGCTTAGTATACATTCTCAAGCGATGCACGTGCAGTTTTCAGCAAATATATCCGTATGTTCTATCGTTAGCTCGTTTGTGACAGTTGTCTGGTTTTCCTCTGAAACCTTGGGAAGACACGCTCTCGGCATGAAGCTATGAGAATGTTGGGAAAAACTGCGACAAGAAGAGACAAGTGTTGTCATAAGCTTCGAAAGTTGGATGATGTGTTGTCTTTGCTTTAAAGGCTTTGGAACTAGACACGGTATGTACAATTTCAGTTATTTCTATAAGTTGTATAAAATTTCTATAAGTTGTAATATTGCAATTTTTTCTTTTGGAGCTGTAGTTAGCTTTGTCTTTGTAAGGAAGGGGTCTAATACAGACCTTATTCCTACTTCTACTTCCCGCTAGAATTCTCTCTGTCAGTCCTTGAACATTATCCGTATTCTAGACGAAATCGTGTGTCCAATATGTAAGGAGCGATTTTCTCACAACTTTTTATCTTTTGGACACTTGGGTGCAGAAATGGACAGCAAAATTCGCAAATTTCTCCTCTCAAAAAGTTTTTGAAGACGCATTTCTCGCTGGTACGTATTCATAGCATACAATATTTTTGGAGTGTACTTATTCCGATCAAATCACGCCAAACTTCTTTTGCGCATGCTATCGCCCGCCATGTGCTCTTTTTCCTCATTTTCGGGCTCTATCTCCATTTAACCATTTTCATATGTTTACTCGTATAGTCGTTTTTGTTAGAGGATCCGTTCTTGCTCACATTCTTTCTCTTACGGAAAATATATCTCTAATGGATTCATATTAGGCAATAGAGATACAGAAAAAAATGGATTGTAATAGTCTACTGCACTTTCTCGTTATCGAGAGGGATAAATGACGTTCAGTGTGTGATTTGTTACGATCTGGTAGTTGATATAAGAAGATTATCATGTGAACTGAGCAATTAATGCTTCTATGAGGGTTTAAGCATGTTTTTATTATCTCACACGTTGTGTGCTGAGGTGTTACGCTGTTTCCTAGCGAGCATCGTATCACAAAAAGTGCTTTACTCCGTACTATCTTCTGGTTTGAAAATCATTTCTCCTGTCTAGTCGGAGTCTGGGTTTTCAGCTGCCCGCGGTTCCTTACGAATATGATCCATCAAAAAAAAAAGTCGTGTTGACTATGTAAGTATTGTCTTGAACTTGGGTTGATTCGCTGTTTGCTGATTGGTGCGTTTATTGGCTTCTCAATTACTCAAATTTCTTGCTGCACTTATGAGGTTTTTTGTTTCCAAACTATCTACGTACTCATGTCATTATGACTTATCAGTGTTCAGTAGAGGTATCCATGAAGCTGCTAAAAATCTGTCCAGCAACCTTTATTTCCTCTCTGTTTACCTTCTCCACTTTCTCTAGTAAACAAAGGGCATTTACCAGAATAATCTCTTGGTAAACAAAATGCATTTGGAAGAATGATTTATTCCAACAAAAATGCTCTAGGTTTCAGCGAAAAGTAGAGTACGTCGGCGTTTCTTAAAAGCACAAGTAATCCGCTTACTTACTGATGGTCTTTTTCTTTTCTCTTCTAGGAGGAGGATCGTAAGCAGTGCATATATCTTTTGAACACCGATTAGGCGTGTACTTACTATTAGTTCCAAGAGATTCTGTTACTTTTTCAAAGATTTTGTGCACCTTGGCAAACAGTTCATGGTGCGGCCGGATAAAGAGCACGTTTGTCATGCGTGTGGATATGTTGTTTCGTGGTGCATTTGCCAGCGTGGGATTTCACCCATGGCGCAGTGTAGCACTTCCTTGTAGTCCCAAAATTTGCTACTAGGGGCGTGTTTTTTTTTGCTGACTGCCCTCGTTGCTCCCCTCCCCCTACCCAAAGCCTTCCCTTTCGCATGTTAGCATCAACCGTTGCCTTGCAGATGTCAAGTGGATGCAGTTCTCGAGTATTTTTTCGCTGGTTAGAGAGTTGAAGAATGTTTGAACACTTGCAGAGCAAAGCTACGAAAGCATCATTATCATGTGTATGATTGGGGTTTCTGGATAAATAGTACACTTCTTTTCATTTAGCGCAACGAACGCTCGCATTTGTATCGTCGCTGTGAATGCATACGAAACACACATTTATGGAACGCAGACGAGATTTATTACTCGAAGCGTCGCCCAATATAGCATTCGTGGGTGGTCGAGCAGCGCGTTAGCACTGTAGGTGTAGTACATTCACTTCAGCTCATATGGCTTAGTAGGACTTGGCCAAACTTCTTTTTGATTGTGTCGGCAATGATCCCCGCTGTTTAGGTTTTTCGCTAAATTTCAGGTTGGGATTAATGTGCTGCCGAATATTTTGCTTGGACCACGTCAAATGCTGTCATCACATGCTATAGTTTGCTGGTAGGATTAGTAAGATACCAGTCCATTTCGGCAGTGATTATCTTCATTCCTTTTTGTTTCCTTAAATACAAATATGCTTCTCAAGTTTTCTTTCCAAAATCAATTTTGAGGACGGTTTCTGTATTACTAAAATTACCGAGATAAAAGCGAGCTTTCTGTAGAAAGTGGTTGTCAGCGCTAGTGTGTTGTTAATAATATCTAACAATAAGAAGTTGGATTTTTATATATCTGACGAAATGACCCCAATTTGAAAGAACTTTTTGAATTGGCTGTTCAAAATTCAGCTTTTTTACTTATTGTGTAGTCAAAGTCGAAAGAAGCAGGTGACCGTCTACAGTCAGATCATTGAAAGTATTATAGTGCCCGATCGAGTGCTTAGCTTTTTATATCATCGAGGCTCGCATATTGAGTGTTCACTGTCTGAGCGTGGACTGCGGTAGCGCATGGTTTTTTTCGGCATGCATCGTCGTCTGTGCTTGGATGCTATCGAACAGACAGGGTATGACTCATCACAGTCAGTTCCTCATCCACTTTTTACAGTGACCTCGTTCGTTTCTAGAAAACGTTAGCAATTGTCAGTCCCTCATGCGCACCAATTCCCCGTTGATGTGCAGTATCATATGGTTTTTTTGCCTATGGCGTCTATATCTCTTTGAGTTTGTTTGCATTGAATAGAGCGGAAACGATCGTTAAAAGTTCCATTAAACATCGGCAGCGCTTCGAGAGATGTTTTTCCCGTTCTCTATTTGCGCAAGTGCGGGACGGCGCCATACCGATTATCTTATCAATAGAATGTACAGTGTATGTTCGGTTTCGGTCAAAGTTTTCTTTCTTTTATCGCATTCTGCTACGCAGTAGTGCGTAACAGTTTTGTGTAAATTTTTTTTCGTTCGATTTTCCGGACTTGTAAGGCACGCAGCTCCATATTTCATTTTCTCTTGGGTACTTTCATTACATCATCGTTTTTTGTAAACTTTCCTTCTGGTAGATCTATTTTCTGAGGAAGAAAGAGAGAACATTATGAAAAACGAAAAGCTGAAAGAGTCAATTATCTGAACGAAACTTCCAGTTGCAAGATTAGACAGTCCACTTTCTCTTTTATGTCAAAAGCTGAAGACAAACTAAGTCTCTTGAACGTAGAAGTCAAGCTCTTTCATCCTACTGGATTCATCTTCTGCTGTCTCTGGTGGTAGTGGAGAACTTGAAGTTTGTAAATTAGAGAGTTTGGCTGTCTTCATTTTCTAACATGAAAGGAAAATACCTATTGTCTATTCTTGTAAATGAAAGTTTCGTTCAGATTAACTCCCTCAGTTTTCAAAGTTTTCGTGAGGTTCCCTCTTTCTTTCTCAGACAATTACCTGGCCTACCAGTCTTCACGGATTTGTACGACTTTTCGTTTCCCATGATTTCGTACTTCTGCTTGAAGATGCTGAGAAAAGCTTCCCTGCTTCAAAGACTCGTTTTTCATTCTTTAAGAGCCGCCTTTCCTTGCATGCATAGGTGCGATGGGGTGATCGGGGTCCCTCCAAAGTGAAGGGTGTCCCAGCCGATTTTGACCCTCAAAAGTGAAGGGTGTCCAAAAAGTGCCGGCGTCGACCGGGGGGGGGGGGGGAATTGAAAAAATTTCAAGTGTCGACCGGGGGGGGGACTGAAAAAATGGTAAAAATTATAAAATTATCCAGTTTAAATAGTCAAATTTTCTAAACTGAATTTGTATGAAATATAATTAATGAAATGTTTATAAGTACTTTGTTTTGAATTCATATAAATATTGTTTTATTTTCGTACACCATTTTTCGGTGAGAAAATGCATGTTTAGGTGGGTGGAACGTGTAATGTTGTAAATGTGATTGCGACCGAAAATTACAATGGACAATGGCAGATACTCGAGGCTTGTAAGGTGCTGAATGATGTTTTACCTGGACCGTACAAATGTGGATAATGTTAATAAGAGACTCCGCGATGATTAGGAATTATTGTTGCAAAAAAAATACGTATGTCGGTATCTATGGAACACAATAAAAAAATTTGTTGCTCAATTGCGTCCACTTGAAGCAGAATAAACATACACAGTGTAGCACAGTGATAAGACTAGTGTAACTGATGTCAGGAGTGAAGCTACGATGTTGACGAGAATTGAGCAAGGTCACTTTTTCTAACTTGAGTAACTTGCAGTAGATCGCTCTCCAGTATAACTCTTGGATAAATGGGCTAAAGCCAAGTTTAAGCTAGATTTAAATGCTGGCCTTTGAAAGCTATACAACGATATATAATTTGTGAGGTGCAATATCTTTGCCAGGTGAGATAGTTTCCAGAGGTCAAACGGTACCCCCCCCTCCACGTCAGAGCCCCATATCTCCACGATGGGGGCATTTCATGATTTAATTTTTTTTGCATCTTCAAGAGGGAGGTCCATTTAGTATTACCTATACCCTCGCAAAGAGATTCCACGGGAGCGGCTGACTTAAATTCCAAATTTACCTGTGTTTTTCAAGCGCCTTTTATTCCTTGTTGTAACTCTCCTTCAGTATATCCGATCTTTCTGCGAGGGTATAGGTAAGACTCAGTAAACCTTCCTCTGTAAGATGCAAAAAAAACTGAAGCACGAAATGCCCCCGTCGCCGAGATATGAAGCTGCAAAAAAACCCATCAAAAATCGATTTTTTTAATATAACTCTTATATAAGTAATTAATTCAAAACGGGAATAGTGTAGGTAGATTCGTCTCCTCAAGAGCTTTCGAATGATATATAACATGTGGGGGTTTACTGCTTCCGGGTTGCGGGAAGGGGGGGTGATCGGTCTCAGTTCAGGGCGATCACCTGGCGGCGCCTCTCCAATGCATTAAAGGCAGCGGCTCGGCAGAA